TGCCACGACTCTCCAGACCTCCAGACAGCAACAGACATAGAACACTGATGCTGCTGGCCCCAGGTTCCTAACCCACGGGGCCTCAGTTGACTTGGATTTCTGGAAAAACTGCTTCTCTTCCTTAAGGCAAAGCCAGAGTGAAGTTGGAATGTGTGGGGGATGGGCCACCAAATGTGGCTTCCAAGGGTGAGAAGGAGGGTGCTGGGGGCTCTCAGCTGCAGCAGGAGGAGGAGCAGCTGTCTTGGGACTTCCTGAGCCCAACCCTGGGAAGACCTTTACCCAGCCAGCCACTGAATGGTCCTTCCTGTGATCTCCTGATGTGACCGGAGGGCATGTCCTGCTCTGGCTGGGTCCCCATTCCTCAGGCCTGGCCTGGTAGAAGCAGGGCCCAGGAAGGATTTATGGACCTTTTACCTTCCTGGGGTCCCTCTCTCTCTGAAGGGCTCTCAGACCCACCTGACAGTTGGGTTTCCAGCCCAGGACCACCCTCCAAGTCCCCCTTTCCTTTTGCCTCCAGGGTTGAAATCTGAGACCTGCTAAATACTGTGCACTGTTGAGCAAAGCCGGCTCCCTCTCTGGGCCTCCACTCTCTCATCTGTACAATAGGGAGGTTGTTCCTGACGTTGCTATGGGCTAGAGGCCAGGGATAAGGATTCTCTATTGAAATAATTCTTTATTGAAATAATTTATTTCAATAAATTTATTCTCTATTGAAATAATTCCAGAATTCCTCCCAGAGGAGTAAAGAAATTAACCATTACGTCATCTTTGCAGCCAAAGCAGGTGGATGCTAGTGCTTTGTTTCATCCTCTCACTACCAGTGAGGACCCTGGAGAAATACCTGAGGGTGTCACAGAAAGTCACAAAGACCCTGGCTTGAATTCCAGTGCTCCCAGTTACTAGCTTTGTACTGAGCGTTGGGAAAAAAAATCTTTAAGGCTCAGTGTCCTGATCAGTGTCCTGGGGACCCTGAGATGCCCAGGGTACTCAGGACAAAAGCAGGGATCTAAGGTAGAAAGCCTTGCCCAAGACCCAGCCCCCCAAGACACAGCCTGCTCCCAACCCATGGCTCTGTGTAGTGGCAAAACAGAAGCATGCAGTGAGTCTTTTAAATGTTCTTTTCATTTTTTTCATAGTGCTGGGGATCAAAGCCAGGGCCTCACACGTGCTAGGCAAGCATTCTACTACTGAGCTACAGCCTCTGCCAAATGTTCTTAAAAATAGGTGGTTTTAAAAGGTCCCTGAGCTGGGTGTGGTAATGCAAGCATTCTGGTAGCCTGGGCAACTTAACTACTTAGTGAGACCCTGTCTCAAAATAAAAAAGGGCTGGAAAATGTAGCCTTGAATTTAATCCCCAGTACTGGAAAAAAAAAAAACAAAAAACAAACAAACAAAAAAACCTCCCTAGGTGACTACTGCACAACCAGGGCTGCAATCTGCAATCCGCTCACCAGGGTATGGTCACACTAAACGTGGTCCTCCAGCAGTGCCGTCACTTGGGATCTTCTTAGAAATGCAGAGTCCCAGGGCCCTACCATGCCTGCTGAACCAGAGTCCAAATGTTAACAAGGTGATTTGGTACACCTTCTAGTTTCTGTAACTGTGATTGTGCAGTTTGGGGACACCGGCTTGGCCACTGAATTCCAGACAGCAGAGAGTATTCAGAGCAGGACAGACAAGGCTATTTAAGAGGACGTAAGGGGGATTCTGTGACTCCCATGAGAAAGCTGGAAGTTTACCTGCAGACCATAAGATGGTGACCAAGTGACAAAACAGTACCCTGAGCCTCTTCCAGCCCTGCAGGAAGCACAGGTGCTACCAGCCCCTCACATCCTTGGAGAGAAGCCTCCCAAGCAGACCTGGGAGCACCATGTAGGTCATACTGCTTACTGGTTGGCCATAGCTTTACTGCTCTTTGAATTTTATTTTTTTCATGTATCTATTTAATCTGAGCCTGTTTAGGGGAGAAGGAGGCAGGGAGAATAGCAGCCAAGGCTTCCAAGCAGACAAGTGGCCAGAGAGGACGCTTTTTAATGAAACAAATGAGGACACTTCACATCACCTTGGCGGGGCCCAGTGTGTCTTGCAGTGGTGACCAGACTGTGGTTTATTCAGGGCAACTGCTGGAACTTTCTAAGAGTTTAGAACTTGAGCAGAGATAAGGAGGGAAAAAAAGAGAGAGGTAAAATGGAAAAGTAACAAATGAAAATTGCCCCTGAGCTATGAGCATCCCACCACCACCACTACCATGCTGTATGTGTCACCTGGACTGGGGCACTCTCTGTTTTTTAGACTTGAAGTGCTATCTTAGTTACTTTCTTACTGCCAGGACAAAATCCCTGACAGTAAGAAATCCCACATGTTAAAGGAAGAAAGAAAAGTCACATCCACACACACACAAGATAGCTAAGATAATTGCACTATTTATTTCTATTAGTTCATTGAAAGGAAGTTAGTGGCTATATTGTCTGATCAATTTTGCATGCCTGTATCTTGTAATCTGAGCAACTACTATAAAGATAACAATATGCAATACAATAACCATTGTTAATTTCCTACCTTATTTTGAAATTCTATATCATTTTTATTGTTTTTTTCTCCCTTTAAAATAGAAAAGTAGGGGCTGGGGATTTAGCTCAGTGGCAAAGCGCCTGCCCGGCAAGTGCAAGGTTGTGAGTTCGATTTCTAGTACTGGAAGAAAAACCAAAAACCAATAAAATAAAATAAAATAAAATAGAAAAGTAGGGCCTGGGGATTTAGCTCAGTGGCACAGCACCTGCCTGGCAAGCACAAGGTTGTGAGTTCAATTCCTGGTACTGGAAAAAAATAAAATAAAATAAAATAAAAATGTAATAAAGGAGGAAAGGCTTATTTTAGCTCAGTTTGTAGATGTTTCAGTCCACAGCTGGCTGACTTTTAAGGCAGGGCAGTGTGGCAGAGGGGCATGGCAGAGGATAAGCAGTTCATGGTGTGAAAAGTAGGGGGCAGCCAGCAGCGAGCCTCTTTTCCCTTTTTATTCCATTCAGGCCACAAGGCTGTTGGTTGGGGCCACCCACACCCAGTGTGGGCCTTCCATTATCCATACGCACAGCTATGCTAAGCCAGTCAATCATCACATCCAGTCATCACATCCATAATCTAATAAATATCACACAACCATGATCCAACCACCTCCCAAAAGCCCCGCCTACGAGTGAGTACAGGAGGCTTTGTGGGGACATCTAGACACAAACCGTAACATTTGTCCAGTCAAGACAGCCTCAGCTTTTGAGGGGTGCACAGTCCAGTCTTGGACAAGGAGAGGAGGCAGTGCAACCCCTGCTAGTGTGATGGTGCAACCCAAAGGCACAAGGACACCTTGGTATCATGTCCCAGGAGGGGAGACAGACTATCCGACCCAGGGTTTCCAGGTAACTTTCTTGAATCTTACACCTGCCTACTTTCTCCCTGTGTCCCTATCAGGGCTCACTAGAATAACAGATTTATATTATATATATGTATGGTTTACAATGGCAGCCTGCAGGGTCACGAGTGGAAGAATGCAAAAGGACTGTCTGAGCCTAACAATCCAATCAAAGGTGAAAGACTTGGAACTCACTGTAGAGTCTTGTTGGTAGCCAAAGTACTGGCATTAGAAGACTGAAGAGTCTGAGCGATAAGCCTGTTGGTTGGTGCCACTCACACCCCAGGTGGGTCTTTCATTTCAGTAAATTCATTCAGCCGCACCCAGAACTGTGCTAATCCCATCGGCTGGGCATTTCTTACTCAAGCTGACACAGCAGTTAACTAGGACACTTCCCCACGACAACGAGGCTGAGCCATGACGACCCTGTTCAAGACCAGGTGTTCCCTGAGCCTGGCCCAATTAGAGTGTGCCTCAGCATCACGTGGGTGCTTGCCACTTGGCCGGAGGACTTTTTCCTCGTGTTTGGCAGGAGGCTGGGGGTAACACGGAGGAAGGTAAAGGCCAGGATCAATTCATCTTGGTGAGCCCCTAGCATGCTGGGACCTCCCAAGTTCCTAGCCAGGTGGAAATAGCTCCTGGAACCACTTAACTTTCTGGGTCCAACGCAGAAGGAATTTATTTCTGGAATCGCCAATGGGTCAGGCTGCCCTCCAGTGGTGCTCAGTCGTAACTGCATCCCTCTGGCCTGGCTTTTTATAATGGGGTGGAAGCCTTCCCTTGAACTCTGCTTGCTCTACCATAGGCAGGTGACAGAGTGTTCTCATCTGGGGCACCTCTCCACCCCATAGGATGTCAACCCTCAGAAGGGAAGGGAATTAGTATGTATCCAGTACTGACTTCTTTGGGCCTTGGCACACCTTGCTTGCTTCCCTGATCTCATCCATAGTCCTGTGTGTGCGCGTGTGTGTGTATGTGTGTGTGTATGTGTGTGTGTTACTGACCCACACATAAGAACAGTTCCTTCTTTTAATACAGGTAGTGACATCCTTTCCTGTCTGCAAACTCCAGGCCGTGTTCCTAATGTGCCATACACCTGTGTAAATCCTTCAAGCCAGGAGTCTGCAGACTGCAAAAAGAGGGGGCGGATAGCAGATATCAAGAGAAGGGGGACACGTGGGGCTCAGCAGGCTGTGCGTCCCATCTGAGAGACTGCCACATGGCCCAGAGATGACTTTTGAGAGGGAAGGCTGGACTAGCACTTTGGAGAAGCCGGAGTCTGGATTTTTGTGGGAGAGCTTCCAATTTTAAACACAATTAACTCATAAAATAGTTTAAAGAGTACTCAAGTTAAACAAAAACAGTTTCTGTTGCTTTGAGCTTCTGTAACCTTTACTAGCAGGTGAAGTCTAGAGGGGACGTGAGTTGCCCATAACACGTGATCATTCAAGACAGAGCGTGAACTTGAACTTGTCTCCAGAATCCCAGGCCTGTGCTGCTCCCAGCACACCTGTTGTCTGCCCTGCTCACCAGGCCTGGGGCAGAGGGTGAGCCACTTCCCACCTCAGCAGGGTAGCAGGAAACATCAGACTCAAGGTAGAGGCTGAAAAGCATCCATATTTATTGATCAGACTCCTTGGAGTGCGGCAGGGCTTTCTGTGGTCCCTCTTGGAAGAGCACAACAGCATTGTAAAACATGTGGAGCCCACAGGCTTGCCTGGATTCCTGCTGAGGTAATGCATGGGCCCAGTGGCTTTGCATAACGACCTTTGCCTTAGGGACCTGAATATGCCCCTTACATAGGACAGAATGGGCCCGATCTCTCTCAAGGTCAGGCTGGCTCTACCTGAGCCTGGGTCCAAAGTCCTTGGAAGCTAGTATTGAAGGGGGAATTATTCAGTTTTCAGATGGGGAAACTGAGGCTTGAGGGAGGAGGAAACTTCACGGCTATGTCTCCAGCTTGGCCCCAGACATGGGCCAGACAGAACTTAGACATTCTCCCTCTCCCAGCTCAGGGCAGAAAACTCTCCCTGTATCAGTTGCTCTGGAAATTAATCTATAAATACATATTTTCTTTTACAAAAAAAGTAATAAATTAGCTCTCAGGCTTGCCTGAGGTCATCTGGCAAGCCATGTATCATGTGACATGGACACTTGTGTCATATATAGATCAATGACCATGTGTCCTGCCACTCATAGTGCTAGAACTTATGCCACTGACCATGTGTCATCCCGCAATTCCATGTAATAACACAGGTCAAGAGGTCATACACTCTGCCATGGATGCCCTTAGATGTCATGCACTACCTCATGACACCCTCACTATGCCACATGACTTCACGGGCCACACATGGCATGCACCATGCAGGGTTCTCCTTCAGCCATACCAAGATCTCAGTCCCCAAAATGGTCCTCCCTGAGGACCACAGCAGGATAGACACATCTCCTTTCTGAAGCAGGTGCAGAGCACCAGCTGAGGATCTTTTCCTGGGCTCTCTCCTGGTGGGTGATGTTGGCATCACTTGGCTGGGTCCCAAGGGTCCTGAGGAGGCCATCAATTACCCCAAGGGGCCTGGGGCTGGTTGTCAAAGAAGGCAAAATCCAGCCTGGGCTCCTGGCTCTGCAGATGCTTGGCCACGGCAGCAGGGACAAGGTTATTCCAGAGACTGTGGGCACAGAGATGGGGTCAGGTCCAGGAGCTTCTTACTCCCCCTCTCATCTCTGCCCCTGTCCTAAGTACAGACTGGGAGACGGGGTCCCCACAGGGGAAAGGCCAAACCCAGAGTTACCCGACAGAGGCAGGCAACCAGCACAGCCACCCTGGGGAGATGGTGTCCCCTACAGCCGCCTTCTGACTCCCACTGTCTTCTTCCCTGGGACCAAGGTCCCAACCCCACATACTCAAAGGGCATATTTGTACAAATAAGGAAAACGCTCCCTCTCTTCAAGGTTCTCCACTTCCATTCTCTGAAATTATCCTAATAGACTGGTTTTGATAGAACAAAACACTTTACCACCATCTACTAGAAATCACGTGTGTCTTTGACATGGTGTCCCTCAGGTGCAATGTCCCTGTTTACTGTACAACCTATGCAACTGCAGGAGGGGCTCTGAATATACCCACTACCTTAAGTGCTTTTTATGTGCCAATACAGTGCCTTTTTTTGATGCAGTGCCTTTTATACTAATTTTATATGTTCACAAAGACTCTGAGATAGATACTATCATTATCCCCATTTTACAGATGAGGGAATTGAGTTCAAGAGAGGTTGTGTTGCTGATGCAGTTAACACAATCAGCAAATAGCAGAGCTGGGATTTGTTCCAAGTATGCTTGCTACCAAATTCTTGGTGGAGTGGTCCAAGCCTCAACCCAAGGCTGCCTCTTCCTACCGGGAGTCCCCTTAGATTGTGGGGCTTGGTATGGTCTCTCATCCACCACCTCTGCTCCTCCAAGTCCCCGTTACCGGATGACGTGGACACCGGACCCCTGGGCCAGCCCTTTAGCCAGGAGCCAGGCTCCTGCAGTTGTGATCCGATTCTTCTCCAGGCTTCTCAGTGGATGTTGAAGAAAGGAGAGAGGGAGAGAGGGAGCCATGAGACCAAGAGAGGGACTTCCCTACGTCCCTGCCCTAGGCCAGGAGTGGACACACCCTTCCCACACTCCTGATACCCAGTTGTGCAGCTGGAAGGCTAAGAGCTAGAGCCCAGGATAACTAAGCTCAGCAGGGGTGTGCACAACTCCAGTAGGGCTTTCTGGGAGTCTGAGAAGGCCCAGTGGTCTCTGGGCTTCCCCCAGAGCACAGGCCACCCCTTCAGTCCACCCTGCCCTGGGGTGTCCCCTCATACTCCACTCTCTTCAGCCGGCCCATCCGTGGCAGAACGTGGGCCAGCTCGGCGGCTGCCTCATCCCCTAGGAGATTCCAGGACAGCCTGCAAGGCAGGAGGCTGAAGTCAGCAAAAGGGGTGAGAGCAGTGAGGTCCAAGGATGGCGAGGCAGCAGGTGTGGAGCCGGGAGCCAATGGGGCCAGGATGTGTGTGCAAACACAAGCGAGACGGCCTGTCAGGGCACTCGAGCACCTTCCCCTGAAGGCTTCAGGCACAGGTGCCCCCCCAGGGGCCCTGTTCTCTAGAACACAGGAACCATGTCTACACCGTCGTGACACACACTTCCACCACATGAGCTTCGTCACGATTTTTGCCACATCCATGTACCTCCCATATTATTATGTGCGTCACATTTTTCTTTATAATTCTCTGCTTTCTTCACTTGAAGAGTCTAATCTTTGCCTGTAATCTCAGTGCTCTGGGAGGCTGAGGCAGAAGGATCACAAGTTCAAGCCCAGCCCGGGCAACTTAGTGATTGAGTGAAACCTTGTTGCAAAATAAAATAAAAAGGGGCTGGGGATATAGCTCAGTGCAAAGGCCTTGGGTTCAATCCCCAGTACTGGGAGAGAAGAAAGGAAGGAAGGAAGGAAGGGAGCGAGGGAAGGAGGGAGGGAGGGAGGCAGGATGGAAAGACAGAAAAAGAAAGAGAGGGAGGGAGAAAGTAAGAAAAAATGAGAGAGAAAGAAACCAAGGAAGAAAGGAAGAGAGAAAGAAGGAAAGAAAGAAAGAAGGAAGGGAATAAAGAAAATGAAACTAATCTTACAGGAAAAATTTATCCCTACTGTCAAGGGATACCCTGTGTGACGGACCTACACACAAGGTGGTTGCCGGGGATAAACAGTGCGAACAATGGAGGTAACTTAGCTGGCACCTGCGTCTTTCTTAAAATGCTGAGTCTGTGCCCTCCTCCTGTTAATTACTAAGCGGGAGGGTCCCCAGCATGGATATGAAAGATGTGTTAGCACTGATCCGAGGCTTCTTCTTTGACTAATGAGAAGCATGACCTTTAGGATGCAAACCTAAAACCAACTTGCAATCACTTGGGCCCTGCACTTTCAGAGGTGTCATTTTCTTCCACACTGTGGTTAGGGTGCCAGCCTAGTCCTGGCAGTCTGGTTCATCCATGACACAGTGCTTCGAGGCCTCAAGCTCTGTGATTGCCAAGGAGGAGCTGGGCATGCCCAGTGACTGGTCAGGGGTCGGAAGTGTCTATCAGCTCTGGCCGCTCCTCAGTACCAGCAGTGGTTCACCAAAAGGAGGCCACATAACCAGGCACATTGGCATGAAAAGGGAGTGTCAGGGGCTGAGAACCCTCAAAGACCATCTGGGCCACCTCCCCTGCCATCCCCCACAGACGGGAAACAGACAGGGGAGGAGGGATGCTTTGCCCAATGTTACCGGAACTTGTGGGGCAAACTTCCTTGAGAGGAGGCTTGAGCAAGAATGATCTTCCCCATCTGCAGATGAGAGGCCCAGCCAGAGAGGAAGGGACAGCTCCAGGCCATGCAGTGGGTGGTGAACAACCCTCAGACACCCACCACCCCCAGCTCTGGCTCCTGGAAGCACTCACAGGATTTCCTCCAGGGCTGGGCAGAGCACGAAGCTGGCAGCGAGGCCTTTGGCAGTCTGGTTGTCAATTTCACAGGAACCCAGGCTGGGGTGCAGAAGGGAATGGAATGAGGGGCTGTGAGAGCCACAGGGTACCTTTAGCGGGACTCCTTCTCCCTCAGCGAAGGCAGGAAGGAGCAGAGTAGCCAGGCCTGGTGCAGGGGCCCTGGGAAACTGCCCATCTCTTGCCCTGGCACCCTCCTAACCCCCTGCCACCCCCATGCTCAGGCCTTTGTCATTTGAAAGGCCCTTCCAGGTGTCAGGGAGAAGGTCTGCTCCTGCTACTTCAGGGCCCCAGGAAAGCCACTTACTCCATCCGCCTGAGCAGTGGGAGCCCCTTGCAGAAATGTGGGACCCCTCTGGCCAGCTTATTCTCTGCCAAGCTGTGGAGAAGGGGAGATCTGTGAGATGAGCCCCCAGACCTTCTCTGACCTGTCCCTCTGTCCAGGCTAGGCACCCCCTACTCACCTGATATCCTCCACATGTGGGGATCCATCCAGGGCCTGGCCCAGGCTAAGTGCCCCTTCCGGGCCCAGACGGCTAGACTGCAGGCTGGGGAGAGGGGAGGGCCTGAGAGAAGCCTGGGGACCAGCTGTGTGCCAGCTTTGCCCCTGGTTGCAGTAGCAGCCTTAGCCAGTCTCTGGTAACTGCCCCCCAGAGTTCCAGCTTTGGGTCTGCGCTCCCAAGTTCAAGGCTGGCTTCTTAATGTACTAGGAACTTTACTCTCCACCCTTCTCCAGGCATTCACTCCTTTCCTGGCAAAGGAGCACATAAAAACCCCAACCCCTCGGGGCTGCCTGGGGCACAGATGAGGCTGTGAACTTGAGCTGGAAATGCTGAGGCTGTGCTGCTTAGTGCTTTGCTCCCACACAGCTCTTCTTTGCTTATTCTCCCTCAGACTGACGCACAGCGTAGGCTGAGCTGGGGCTGTAGCCCTTCCTTTGCACAGGAGGAAACCGAGGCTCAGAAGGGGAAGGGGCTTAGCCAAGGGCTCACAGGTGGCCAGTGCCAGTGCCAGGGCTAGGCAGGGTGTCTTGATTTCCTTGTGTGGACCTCCCACACAGGAAGAGCAGGCAGGAAAGGACTCATGACACGGTCTGGGCTCAGGCAGGGCTGCCTGACTCCAGCTGATCCTGCGCACCCCTCCCCCAACTCCGCATGCACCCCAGGCAAGGGGACACTCACTGTAGGACCCTTAGGTGCTGGGGCAGCTGTTGAGCCAGTGTCAGTGCTGTGGGATCCCCCAAGGCGTTGCGGCCTATCCTGAAGAAGGAGGAAAGGACAGGGGGGAAATGAACGTAAGGTCAGGTGGCTTGCTCTGGGCCCCTGCCCTGCCCGGGGGAGAGGAGGGCGAGGGGCCTGTGGGGACCCCACCTGGACAGACACTCACCTCACCTCCTCCAGGTGCCTGCAAAGAGTGAGAGACTCCGCCAGCGGCAGTCCTCCAGCCAGGCTGATGCCATTTGCTGAGAGGCTGTGGGAGGGGCGGTCATCAAACTCTCTGATTCCGTGCCCACCCCCTCATCTGCAGGGGCCCAAGGGGCAAGCCCCCTCCTCACCCACCTTCCCAGCACAGCGGAACAGAAGAACCCAGGAATAGGGGCCAAGTGAGTTAAGATACCACAGCCAGAGCCAGGAAGTCACCCACCCCACTGTCTGGGCATGGAGGCCGGGGGAGGGAGGCCTTAGCCAGGTGGGCGTGAACCAGGCCCAGTGTCTCCCAGAAGCGCAGTGTGGCCACTGTGGGCCGCTCTCAGCAACCTGGCCACTCACTCTATTTTCCTGAGGCTGGGCAGCCCCGGCAGGATAGCAGCTAAGTGCTGGGCACCGGCGTCTCCAATCTGGTTGTGGCTCAGGCTTGGGGAGAGAAGAGCAAGAGATCCAGAGCCGTCAGCCTGCCACCCTCCACCCTTGTCCACACCCAGCCCTGGAACACAGGAGGCTGACGGCCAGAGGAAGAGCCCAGGTGTGAGGGGCAGCACCCTGTGTGGGGTGAAGACTCCCAACTTCTGGCTTCTGCTAAGATGCTCTTCTTGCTGTCTGACCTAAATCCCTCTTGCTGCAATGGACTCTCTTACATCCTATCTTTGGGTCTCAGAGGTTATCAGCCTGGGCTTGGTTATGCGGTGTGGAAGTGGGTGAAAGGGATGAGTTAAAAAGCAAAGTGCCTACCTGAGCGGCCCCTTACTTTTATCATCTTTCCTGCCAAAGTTGTCATGGAGTTGGGGGAAGGGCAGCTCTCTCACTCCAGTCCCACCAAGCTGGTGGCAGCTCTGAGAGCCTCAGGAAGTGGACAGCAACTAATGTCACCAATGTTGCTCCTATTCAGTCTGGAGAAGGCCTTTCTCAAGAGCTTAAAGGCCTTGGTATGTACTATGCTCAAACTTCCACAGTTTGTAAAACCTGTATACTCATATACTGCTCATGTGAGTCCTGGGGGCAGTGAGCAGAGGGGGAATGACCATCTCCACTCTCCAGGTACAAATAAATGAGGCTCAGAAGTGATCTGTGACTGGCTGCATACTCATACTGACCTGCAGGTAAGGTGGACATGGATCCCAGAGCCCCAGGCTGGGGAACATTCTCTACATTTTTCGGCATTGCCAGGTTTTGCTGTGGGCTCTGAGGCTGGAGCTAGGGTGGTGTGGGTGTGTGGAGTTTGAATACAAATTTTATGTGGGTTCCATGCCTCAGGCCAGGCAGCTCTCCAGGGCTTAGGGGCTGCCATCTGTACAGATGCCAGGCTTCTCCCTGACCTGACCGAGTGGTTCTTGGGCACCCTGACCTTTCCCTGTCCCCACGCGTGAGGAGAAAGAATCCAAGCTAAATGGCCAGGCTACTGGCTCAGCCCTTGCTAAGGACTTGTCAGAGGATTATTTGTGTTATTTTCTTTTTCAAATTAAATGCTGGTAAACTGTCTTCGAGCGAGTGACTTTTGGGTGAAATGACTGATCCCATCTGCCACACCCTCTGAAACTCCAACCTCAATGACCTACTCCTGCTAAACTGCTGGAGTCTGGGAGGGGCCTCAGATAAAACCAGAGCAAAGCTTTGTGTAATTGCTTGGATTGTAGCTACGGTATTTCATATTAAAAACAACAACTCCTCAAGCCATGTGTGGTGGTGTAGTTTTGTAATTTCAGCTACTTTGGAGGCTGAGGTAGAAGGATTACAAGTTTGAGGCTAGCCTGAGCAGTTTAATGACACCTTGTCTCAAAATAAAATTTGAGCCAGGCATGGTGGTGCATGCCTGTAAGCCCAGCGTTGGGGGTGGGGTGGAGACTGAGTCAGGAGGATCGCCATGAGTTCAAGGCCAGTTTGGGTTCAAGGCCAGCCTGAACTACATAATGAGACCCTGATTCAAAAAAAAAAAATCCTTTTTTGAAAGGGCTGGGGATGTAGCTCAGTGGTCCCTGGGCTCAATTCCTAGTATTACAAAAATCAAAAACAAAACTCACATTCACAAAGAATGTGCTGTTTGTTTATCCAAGTGGGCAGGGAATGGAAACCACAGAGGAGTTCTCATTTTACAGGAACCTGTGGAGAACAGTGCACATTAAGGGCTGTTCTGGGACCTGGGCATAAGCCCTTCTGGTCACACGGTGCAGCTGGTGGCACTAGAAGGCGAGAGCAGAGGCACCAACCCAGGAGCTCCCCTGGGAAGGAGGAGGGAGGGTGGGGCGGTGGGCCTGCGCTTCCCGGGTGCTGCCCCAACAAAGCTGGGGGTGTCCTCCCACTTGCTCCCGTGCGGTCACTTACCAGAGGTGCTGCAGGAGGCTCATGTGGCTTAGTCCCTGAGTGAGCATGGCCAGGGTGGAGCCGCCCAGCGGAAGGTGACTGAGGCTGGAGGAGAAGGGGCCAGATGAGCTTGCCATTGCTGCGTGTACGTGTGTGGGTGTGCAAACCAGGTGAGGCCCCTGTACTTAGCATGCATTTCCCAGGGACCTTGCTTCCATCCATGTCATGCAAACTCTGCAAAACAGCCTGCACTGGGAAACACAATGCTGCTTCTCTGCATGGGCCATGGGGGTCACCCAGGCAGAGGTTCTGTTTCTTTTTGAGACAGAGTCTCACTGGCTGAACTTGAGTTCACTATGTAGCCCAGGCCGGTCTTGAACTCATGGTGATCCTCTTGCCTCAGCCTCCCAAGTGCTGGGATTACAGGTGTGCACCACCACGCCAGGCGTGGTTGTTTTTGAGCTACATGAAATTGAAACTAATCATGGGTGACAATGATGCTCCTGTATTGACTATACTAGGCCCAAGATACTGGGAAAGGTGACTCTCACTATGTCATCCATTGTACTTGGAGGAGCACACAGACTCAGAGTGAGATGACAAGCTCACTGTCATCAGCAACAGAACAGGACTGAAGGACTCCCAGCCTCATGCTATCACGGGCTCACACTCCATAAGGCCCCAAGCCGGGCAGGGCAGGGAGACAACAAGGTAGGGCCTGCTTGAAGGCCTTATGGCATACTACTTCACTTAATCCTCACAACATCCGCGGGAAAACAGGACTGCTATTATTATCCTCAAAGTGAAGAAGGAGTCTAATGCACAGAGAGGCTTAGCACCTCACACAAACTCGCATAGTAAGAGGTAGAAACGAGAGGTGATCCCTCTCAGGATTTGCCTAGAACTAGGAGTTTTCCAGGACGTGCAACTTTCAGCGCTAAAACCCAGAGAGCCCCGGTAAACCAGGGGACTTGCTCCTACCAAGAGCTCACACTACATGTTTTGGCTCCTAACCAGGGTCTACCCTAAGCATTCTGCTCCAGATGGACAGCTGGAAGAAACAACTGGGTTTTTTTTTTTTTTTTTTTTTTTTTTTGAGATGGAATTGCTCTATGCAGTTCAGGCTGGACTTGAACTCATTATCATCCTCCAGCCTCAGCCTCCCAAGTGCTGAGGTTACTGGTGTGAACTACCACACCCAACTATAGCTTTTGGATTTGAGGGGAGCTGCCATGGCAGGAGATATTTAGAAATCTGGAACTGGAAGAGGCCCCGGGCACAGAGAATAAATCCACTTCTTTCAGACAAGAAAGGCATCACTGTGCCCACTTTATAGATAGGACAACTGAGGCAGCAGGAAGCAAGAAGTAGCACTGGGTCTGGGAAGTCAGAAGATGCAAGGCTCCCAGGAGGCTCATCTGCAGTACCACCAGCCCCAGCCCTGACTCCTGGCCCGTCTGTTCATATTTGTCAAATGCATGAGTGAGCTAGCGATGACCCTACCTGGCCTCTCACCCCTAAATAAAGCTTCCAAGCAGGGTGGGGAGCACAGGGAAGTCAAAGCAACAGCTCCATGAGAGACAAAGTGGTCTTGTGGTCCAAGGTCTCTCTAACCCTCCCCCCTCTTCCCTTCCCCTCCCTTCCCTACTCTCCCCCAGGACAAGTAGAGAGGAACACAATGGGAGAGTTTCACGGCTATGAGGGAAAAAGTCAAAAGGCTATTTTGAAACTACTTTCGTAACATATGTGACAAGAATCCAGAGAAAAGCTCACAAATGGATTACTCCCGAAAATGTTCTTGAGGAATGTTATTTTTTAGGGATTTTGTGGTCTTTGTTATATATTTTTATAGTGACAGAACTTGGTATATCTTTGGTTATCAGAAAAACAGAGTTAAAAGCAGAAAATGCTGTTAAGTTTTTTGTTATTATTGTTTAGATACCATCTAAACAGGAATCTGTGGAATAGGGCTTGTCTTTTAGACTGAGGCTGTGGCATTTCTGAGAATTTTGTAAACCCAAATCATAGGGGAGAAAAAGTAACCAGTTACCAAAGAAACGACTATAGACAAAAGACAGCGGATATCTGTGGGATTTTCTGCCCAGGGTTTCTTTATCCCTCTTTTGTTAACACCACCCTGAAACCTCACTCTTAGTCCAGGTAATAGGGTGGCCATGTGACCCATACGTGGCCAATGAGAATGTTTTGTGCCCAGAGCCACAATGATTGGGTTGAACATGTGAACATGTGACCCAGGCTAGTCCAAAGGGACTCAATCTGTTGTAGCTGCAGGGAGGTGGGTGTTCCCTTTCCACAAAGCCTGAGACTATGGGACAACCTGGTGGAGAAGTAAGTCAAAATGCGGAGAGAGAGAGAGAGAAGAGAGAGAGAGAGAGAGCACCAATATTGAATCCCTATGTTCAGCCATATCTGAAGTCAACTGCTTGGGTTTTTCCATGACACAAGCCAATAAACTCTTGGCTTGGCTTGATATGAGTTGAGCATTCTGTTTTCTGTGACCAAGCATCCTGCTGGCCCTCAGAGTTGGGTAAGGACAATAAAGGTCTGGGAGGACGTTCAACATTCAGCTCATCCAGGACATTTGCTTGGGTTCACCCAGGCATTTGACAGTTTGTGTTTAAGAAATGCAAAGCTCTTAGGCATACTTTCCATGCCACTCCCTGTTAACCACCACCACTTACTAAATCTATTAACCACCTCCCACAACACCCCCTTACCCTACTGCCACTACTTACTGGAGCCTCTTCAGCCTGTACGTCCCCTTGAGGACCCCTATGAGTGCTTCAGTGCCCTGCTCACCAACTCGATTGTTAGAGAAGCTGGAGGGGACCAAGCAGAGGTGAGGGTTAGACAAGCCTGCCCGGCCCCTCAAGTGCCGCTGAGAGGCTGACTCTGAGTCTATACAGCCTAGTCAGCCTCACTGTCCAAACTTGCTGGAGGCATTCCTGGACCAAGGGTCAGGCTCTGGGGTCTCTATGGGAGGAAATTTACTGAAATATTATGGACATGGCAGTTACAGTTGGCCTGGCTGAGAAAGAATGCTCTGGGTGAAATGAAGGCTGCAAAGAAGCAGCAAGGGCACTATGCTATAATCCTTCTGTCCCTTAGTCCTCTCCATATGAACCTCTTCTTAACAGAGGCAGCAAATAGCCCAGAGTGGAAGAGCGTTTTGCTGGAGGTACCTGGGGTCAGTGGTAATGTTGGGACCAAGAACATAGTGCTCAGCCTTCCTGGGGCCACACCCAGAACTGCTGGGCTGCAGCAGAAGTCACAGGAAGAAGTCTCACTGTCTACCCTACCACAGGTCAAGTATCTTCTCCACCCCCTGCTCTGGGCTGGGCTGTCCCTTCCCGGGTCCCAACACCCTGTAACTCACTCCAGCTCCTCCAGGTGGTGGAAGTGGCCCAGTCCAGCTGCCAGGTGGGTGAGGCCCTGTGTGCTCACGCAGCTGGAGGTCAGCCTGGTGGGGATGAAAGGGCAGCAGGTGAAGCAGGTGTGCTGGGTCTCAGAGCCCTGAGAGCTGGTGGCAGAGGGCAGGGTTCCTGGGGACAGTGGGTAAGGGACACCTTGTCTTCATAAATCTCCCTCATGTGGACAGACTAAGCCTGGACTCTGCCCAAAACCAGTCACTCGGGGAGCAACTTCACAGCCTACACCATGTCGGTACCACCGTGAGGTCTAGCTAGTGCTGTTTGCCACAGCTCGGTATCTTTAAAGCAAATACTGGTTAGCACAAAGATCTGCTGGCCCCTGGAGTTTCTTCTTGATGCAGTCAGTTGCACTGAAAGAAAAGTGGACATTTGGCTCCCTTTGTCCACTGTTATGTTGATAATTGATCCAGGTGAAACTTTCCAGTGGGTGTTAAAGTCGTGTGAAAGTGTGAGGAAGAGCAGGACATTTGCATAGTCTTAAACTATCTCCTCACAAGAGACGCATTAATCACAAGGGAAAAATAATAACTTTGCTAGAGAAGTTTGGCAGACGCCGCCCACACCAGGTGCCTAGCAAGGGACCACACAGACATCACGTGTCCCTGTGGGCGGCACTGAGAGCAGAGCAAGGCTTGTGTCATTCCTGCCCCAGATGTAGTCTCTAAAGCTAAGTGTCAGGAGTCCTCGGAAAAACTCAAGTTGAAGGACATTCTGCAAAATAACTGCCCTGTAAATGTCAGAGACGGTGTCACGAAAGGCAAGGCCCCAGAACTGTTCAGATTGAAGGAGACTAAAGAGCAATGACAATCAGTCAGCATGTGACCTCGGATGGTCTCCAGGACAGGTAAAACATGACAAAGCCCAGCAGCAAATGCACATTACTGGAACAAGTGGTAGGAGCGAAGTATAAACTGCAGTTTCCATAACCGCATGTCACTGTTTAATTTCCTGAACTGTATAATTTTACTGGGTTATGGAAGAGAATGGCCTTGTTCTTAGGAAATGTACTGAAATATTATGGCCTAAGGGGGACATGATTATGCAACTTACTCTCCAATGGTTTAAGGGTGGAGGGAGAAGGAGGGAGAGAAAAAGGAAGAAGAGGAGGAGAGGGAGGAAGGAGGGAAGGAATGAATAAATGTGGAAAAATATTCACCACATGGAATTTGGACAAATAGTGTAAGGATAGTCTCAGTCTTGCAACATTTTATTTGTAATTATTTTTAAGAATAAGGAAGGAAGGAGGGAAAAATGAAAGGGAGAAAGAAAGGGAGGGAGCTTTGAAAGGGAGTAATTTTCTTGCCATGTGGTGATGTATCCATGACTGTATCCCTCTAGCCTAATCTCCAGGATCCCTGTAGCACCCACCCACAGGGGGGGACACAAAGTCCTCTGGCACAAGGCTGCAGACAAACAGAGGTGTGGCATAAGACAGAGGCACTGAGGGCCTAAGGGCAGGTCTGGTGTGCTTACCGGAAGGTCTTCAGCTCACAGAGGGACAGCAGGAGGCTCTGCAGCAGCAGGGAAGTGGCATTGTTGGCATCGCAGAGGTTTACCTGGGACAGGCTGAAAAGGCCCAAGAACATCCCAGAGGATGTCAGCCTGGACACACCTTGGGGCTTATCACATACAGACAGGGAGGGGTGGGAGGGGAGGAACCACTCAGGAGCCCCCTTGTGCTACCCTGGGCAAGGAATGACCCTGTCTTGCACAGGGAGCGAGAACACCCAGACCCCACGTGGCCTAGACGACGCACTGGGGTCGACCAGAGGCCCAGGCCTGGGACGGCGTTTCTGGAGCTGACCTGAGCTGCTGCAGCCTGGCGCATGTCTCCATCAGCTGCCTGACAAGGAGGCTGTGGTGGGTCCCAAGGTCACAGTGAGCCAGCCTGGAGGCAGACAGGGAGGTGGCAGTTTGTGAACACGTGTCCAGTAGGGGTGATACAATCCCTGTGTTCAAGGAGCTTATGGTACAGGGGTAAGTAAGTGTTGGTCAAATGGAATCCCACAGTTTGGTATTAGGCATAAGCAGTGCTGTGAAGGAGGGGTCCAGATGGCACAGCTGGTATGGCTGGTATGTCCACTGCACAAGGGAGGGTACCCAAGGGGGAAGTGGGTCATGCAGGACTCCCGGAATGTATGCATACAGGGCTGCATCCACTCAAAAGAGGTGACATTTTACTTTCCAAAGTGTACTATATGGATTAGAGGTGCTATGCATGCAGGCATCTCTGAACGTGAATAACAGAAAGATTTGACTAAGTGTTGGGGGTCAGTGGGCCTCCTCAAGATGGTGGCATTTCAACTGAGACTTGAAGGATAGAGAAGTATAGCTGGTGAAAGAAGAAGACAACGTGCTGGGCAGAGGGAGGGGCCTGTGCAAAGGCCCTGGGGTCAAAGAGAGCAAGATACTGCTCAAGGAACTAAAAGCTGGTGTGGAGATGACTGGGGCAGAGACCAGGGCTTGGGGTGGAGATGGAGAGGGTGGGCAGCACACCTCACAGGCCATGAAAAGATGACATGAAAAGACTGAGCAGGGGTATGAAAACTATTGGTCAGAAATAGCCACATACCCTCCCCACCACCAGTTGTTCCCACCTGAGGGCCATGGCCTCTGGATTTTCTTCCTGACGAGGAAATTCCAGCTGAACGCAGAGCTGGGTTTCAGAGATGCTGAGGAGGGGGAGAGGCACCGGTGAGGCCCACAGCAGCTGTCCCTTCCCGGCTTGCGACTCCGGCCCCTCTGCTTGGGCCCCTGCCTCCCCTGCCTGGCCCAGCTGTTATGGGAAAGCAGTTGCTTCCTTGAGTCCTGTACACCAAAAATGGTGCCTTTAAACAGTCTGGAGTGACTAAGCTCTGTCAAGGCCACGACGAGCTCCCACAGACACGCAAGGGCTGTTCTGGGACAGTCCAGGGGACGTGGTCAAAGGCCACAGAGGAGCCAGGCGGGCTCATCTGCAGGCTGCATTTGTACTCAGCTCGCTGGCTTTGCCTGAAGGTCAGGTTCACTGGAGGGGGCTGAGGGAGACGTTAAACTATCCCAGGTCCTTCCTGGGTGCCCCTTGGTGGACAGCAGGACTTGGGACAGTAACTGCTGAGTGGGGATCTGATGACATATATGTCAGGGGTGCCAAAGCCTTGCTTCCACCTCCTCCGCGTCACTGTGTCACAAAGGTCAGAGTGACATCTCAGGTCACAAAGCCATGGTATGTGTGTGTGGCAGGGGCTGCTTCCAAGCAGCCAGCATAGGATCCCAGCTATGGCTTCCCGGACTCAGCAGCCCTTTGTCTTGAATCTGGTGCTGCCCCTCTCTCTGCTTGACACTGAAGTCTGACTACTGCACAAGTCCTAGCAAATGTGCATAGCCCCTCACGTATGCCCCAGGAAGTCCTGCCACCTTGGGGGCACAGAGAATTCACCAGTGATACAGCTATTACCCCACGGGACAAGAGACCAAAGGAAGGTCCCAAAGGTCATGAAAAAATGAAGAATTGCAAGAGGCCCTCCTCCATGGACTCACCTTATGACAGTTATGCTGCCGGACGCCTGGGCACAGACTTCTAGCAGGGCAGGCACCCCGGCTTCACCAACCCACGGCTCCTCCACCCTGTCACCAAAAGGGACACACAGATATGCCCCCCGCCCCATGGCAGCACTCAGCACCCTGGGGGAGGGTTATTGCCTGGAGGGGTCTGGAGGCTTTCTGGCCTATTTTAAAACTATACAATTACACAATTGAACACAAGTACAAAAAGGGAAACTTACATCATCCTTATTTCAAGAATCATTTTGCAACAAACCCAAACCCGAAAAAATTTTTTAAAAACAATATTTTTAGATGTCAGAAAAGATCCATATAACATTACATGGCCAAGATAAGAAAACCCAACTGTACATATAATAGGATCCCAATTTTGTATTTTAAAAAGGGCAAAATATAGGAAGAGAAAGATGGAGATAAGGGATAGAAGGAAAATATATTAAGTGTGCATGCATTAATTTGGAAGCAGGATAAAAGAGCTATTTAAAATATCCCTAGTTCAAGGTTATACTGGGTTAGTTCTTTTTAAATACCATTTTTCTCCTTATATACTATTTTTCCTTTATGTTCTTCTGGATTTTCCACAAATTTCTATAGTGAGTGCCTATTACTTTTAGGCTTACTAAAAGATTTATTTATTTATTTAGTCTTTTTGAGACAGGGTCTCACTCTGCAGTTCAGGCTGGCCTTGAACTCACTTTGTAGCCCAGTCGGGCCTTGAACTTGCAGTGATCCTCCTGCTTCAGCCTCCTGAGTAAAAGTTTTATTTTAAAATGTTATTTTGGGTGACCTAGCAGTTCTGGGTAAATACCCCAAAGAATTGAAAGCAGAGGCATAAAGACGTATTTGACTATCTATGTTTATGGCTGTGTCATTCATGAGGTCAAAATGTAGAAGCAACTCACAGGCCATCGAAGATGACTAAACAAGTTGCAGAGGGAAATTCTTGCACATGCCGTGCTTGGATGAACCTTGATGACATCGTGCTAAGTGTAATGGGATCGTTGCCAAAGGACCAACACTGCGTGATTACACTTCTAGAAGCTGTCTGGAACACTCGGATTCAGAGAGACGGAAGGGAGCAGGGATGGGGTTGCCAGGGGCTGGGGGAACGGAGAACGGGAGCTTGTGATCTACTGGGTGCAGTTTCAGCTTTGCAAGACGAAGAGATCAGAAGATTGGTTGCACAACACACGAGTGTACTTACCGCTACTGAGCTGTACATTTAAAAATGGCCAGGAAGTGAATTTCATTATGTGTATTGTACCATAATTTAAAAAATATGATGTGGGGGAACAACGAGATCCCCTGTGTCTCAACATGGGCATTGGGGAGCCGTGCACAGAGATGTCTGAGGAGTCAGATTTTGGGGTACAAATCTGTCAGTCCATCTTAGCAAGGCTTGTGGTCTAGCTTCAATCTACAGAAAAATCAGGGGCGGGCTCTGCGGCGTGGAGATGGTGACCAGGGTCAGAAGCCGGGCAGTCTGCGGCGCAGTGACCACGGCAACACAGGCAGCATCGCCCCTTGCAAATGTGGTCCCTGCCTGCATCCCCATCCAACAGACCAGCTGTCTTATCTGGGGGGACAATGGGGACAGATTAGACCAGGTAACGCGTGGCACCAAGGAATCGTTACTGAATTTCTCAGGTAACCTAATAAAGCTATGATTATGTAGAAAATGTACTTCCTTTTTAGTGATTCATGGTGAAATATTTAGGAGTGATATTTTATGAGGTCTACAATTTACTTTAAAATACTTTAACCAAAAGATGAAAAAAGGAAGCAGACACGGAAAATATGAGCAACTGTGGAATCTAGGTAATGGGATATGCGCTTTAAGATATTCTTTCTACTTTTAGTATGCTTTTTTTCCTGAATCTTTAAAGTTATGGTGAATATACAAGCATTTGTTTTTTTTGGTAGTATGAACCCAGAACCTTTGACTGAGCTACATGCCCATGAGTTTTAAAATTTTATCTCTCCATTCATCTACCCAGCCACCCAGCCACCCAGCCACCTATCCATCCATCTATTTTTAAGACAAGATCTTGCAAAGTTCCCAAATTGCCCAGGCTGGGCTCAAACTTGAATTCTCCTGCCTCAGCCTCCCAGAGTGGTGAGACTGTACCACCACACCTGGCTAGCATACTTAGTTTATGTATGTTTAAGTACATCTGGCCAGGCTGCTTATGGGCAGAGAGCAAAGAATCCCGTGGCTGCAGTGTTGTGTGTGGTGTGGTATGTGCGGCGTGTGTGTGGCATGTGTGTTGTATGTGCAAGTATATGTGAGCATGTGTAAGAGTATATGTGCTATATGTATGGTGTATAGGTGAAGGTGTGTGTGAGAGAGTGTGAGTATGTCTGTAGTGTGTCTTGTGCTGTGTGGTGTATATATTTTTATCCTTGGTTGGATATTCTTTTGGGAACTTTATCTCCTCAAGCCCAAAGCACAGTCTCCAGAAGAGACTGCTCTTCTGAATGACTAGGGGTGACTCTGGGATGGGAGGGCAGGGACTGCTCTGGGTTCAGGAGGTGTAGGGTTCTGGGTATGGGAAATGAGCAGGGTTGTGGTTCTGGGGCCCTGCACTCTGGAACCCATCCAGATGGAATTCATGCCATGGCCCCTCCCATGGCAGGGGAAAGATACCTGAGGTGGAGGAGGCCTGATGGCCGCCTCACCAGGCTCAGAAGGATGGCCAGCTGCTTCAGATCCAAGCCACATCGGGTCAGCCTGGGGACAGACCACAGTCACTGGTGTGGCCCTGCAGGGTGCCACATTTCAGCTGTCCTCATGGGCCAGGCTGTCACTTACGTGAGCTCCGTCAGCTGGAGGGCCCGGCCGATGCTGCTGGCCAGTCTGGGCATGTGCTCCGGCCCCAAGCTGCACTCGCTCAGCCTGAGGGCAGAAGGCCAGGGGCAGAGCTGTGAGGTCCATGTGGGCCACTGGCCTGGCCTCCTCCTAGGCTTCCTGGGGACCTGCTGCGTGGAGCACCGAGGGCAGAGGCCAAAGACGTAGCCTGCCTTGGCGCCTCCTGGATGTTTTGGGGGGACCCCACGCCCTCCAAGAAGGTGCTAGGAGCTGCTTGTGGAGCTGACTCTTCACCCGGCACTGTGCCAGGCCTGACGGCTAGGGTGCTTGCTTGTATGCGGTATCTCATTTCATTCTCATGGCACAATTTAAAGCAGGGAAGCTGATGAGCCCAAGGACACAGCTGGTAAGACACAGGGCGGCTGGGCCAGGCCTCTGCCTCCCAGCCCTGCTCTGAGGCTTCAAAGAGCGGCTGACATTGAGCTGGGGTCAGGGTTGGGGGCAATTTTCTCTCAGCAGGGGTCGAGTGTGAGCAGAGGCAAGAGGCTGTGTGCACATCTGACCAGGCTGCTTATGGGCAGAGAGCAAAGAATCCCGTGGTGCAGAATTGTGTGTGGTGTGGTATGTGCAGCGTGTGTGTGGCGTGTGTGTTGTGTGTTCAAGTGTATGTGAGTGTGTATGAGAGTATATGTGCTATGTGTATGGTGTATAGGTGAAGGTGTGTGTGAGAGAGTGTGAGTATGTCTGTAATGTGTGTTGTGCTGTGTGGTGTATATATGATGTGGGTTGTGTGTGTGGGGGGGAAGTGACTGGCGGGTCAGATTGTGAGGGACAAGAGCAGGAGGATAAGAAATTTGAACTTTATTCCATGGGTACTAGGGGCCACTGAGGAGCTCGTGGCGTGGTGGTCAGGTGTGTGCTGTGAGGATGCTGTGAGTGCCGCGGGTGAAGGCACTGGAGGAGGCTGAGGAACAGGCAAAGTCTGAAGGCCGTGTTCACAGCTGAAGTCCGACCTGCAGAAGGACTGGCCAGGCAGGGGTGGCGGGCTGCTCCAGTGAGCCGGGCCTTTCCCCTTTGTGCAAATGAGCTCACTTAGTCCTCTCCATCGCCCCAAGGGTAGGTTGTGCTATGATCCTATTGTACAAATGAGGGACTGAAATGGACAGGATCAGCCACCCATCCAGTGTCACACAGCCAGACAGTGGCAGCCTGGGATTTATTTTCAGGAGGCTCCACAATTTTAATCAGGAGCCTCAGACTCAAGCTATAGTTGGGAAGTGACTAAGAGGCACACACTGAATGCAAAGGTCCTGCCAGAGACTGCAGGCACCAACCCTGGGCAGTGAGCTTGGAGCAGGCTGAGGAGGAGGAGGAGGAGGAAGAGGAGGCTGGGGCAGGGGCACGAGGTGCCATAGGCCAGCCTCCACTCCCTTTCCCTCTCCTGCCCATTGCCCCACCAGGAATTACCTCAGGGTCATCCCAGCCTCCTCCTGCTTGGAGAAGTGAACCCAGAAGTTCTGCGTGGAGCCCAGGCTGCAGAGAGAGGAGCGCAGAGAAGTGTGTCCACACCATTCTGCGAGGCGGGGGAGACCGGGCTCTCCCACCCCAAGGCACCCGGGCATGGAGGCTGGAGCCCGTGACCCCGCCCAGGGAACCCTGATGCTCAGAAAGCAGTGAGTTGCCCCAAATCACACAGATGGCCAAGCGTGGTCCCCATCAGCCAGCCGCTCCTTACTTCACCGAGGCCTCTCGGACACGTGGGCAGGAGGGCAGTGCCCCCAGCAGGTACAAGACACCTTCCTGAGAGATGCTGTTGTGACTCAGACTAGGAGAGAAAGGAGGCTCAGGATGGCTCTGCCCAGTCCCCTCGCCTCCCCTCCAGCTGGTTTCCCCGAGGTGAGGCTTCCGTGTCTAGGCACCCACTCCATTCTGCAGATGGAGACAGTGAGCCCTAGAGAGCGGCCCAGAAAGGATGCTGCCCCGCACTGGCAGAGTGGCTGGAGCTGCCCTCTCTATGCCTGCCGCTGCCGCTGCTGTGCTGAGGTAGGGGCAGGGTGCTGATGGGGCCCTGCTGCCATCTCCAGCTCCACATGGGCTGAGGACTCTCAGAGCACAAAGCTCGGTTGCCTAGCAACAGGCTGAATCCGTCTCTGGCTGTCAGTCTCCCAAGTTGCTGGGGAGATCGGGCAAGAGTGTGGATGACTTCCTGGGGACCCTTTCCTGCTGCAGGGACATCTGTAAATTCCTGTCACCTAGGGATGGGATGAAGCAGGAAGGAACCAGACAACTGCAAACCCACATCCGCTGGTTAAGGATGAAACATGGCTTCCCTGTCCCAGGGCCAGCCTGGTTGAAGCCATAGCCTCTGTTGCGTGTCTGGCAGAGGATCTGCCCATGGTGGGTATGAGGGAAGGAGGAAAGGACATGTGTGTGTGTGTGTGTGTGTGTGTGTGTGTGTGTGTGTGTGTGGGTTGGGGGGAAGTCCAGGTAAGACTAGTACTTTCTTTCCCAGAGCTTTGTTCCCTGGGGTTCGCTAGGGACACTTTGTAAAGAGGCCCAGGGGAGGCTCCATCCCTCCTGTCTCCAGGCTGCTCCCCACTTACTCAAGCACCCCAGAGATGGGCATCTGCAACAGGTGGTCTAGAAGGCACCTGAGCCCGTCGTCACCCAGCACGTTGGCTGTTAGGCTGTAAGAGACAAGGAGCAGTTAGCAGTGGTCAGCGTGCCTCCTTGGGCTCTGCCTGCTCCTCTTGGTCTGTAGTTCTGGGCCTACTGTCACTGCTACTGACCATGCCAGCACCGGCCGCCATCCCCACCACCACCAGCACCACCAACACCATCACTACTCAACACCACCGCGCCCGTCACCACCACCATCATTTCCGTCACCACTGGAGTCGCCACCAGCTCCCACATTGCCCACTACGGTCTGCTGAGCAGCACCACAGTAAACCAGACCTCACTTTCCCTCTTTGGTATCTGTGGGCTCCCAGGACTCCAGCAGGCTTTCCAGAGTTAGAGAAAGAACAATTAGTTTTGCCCCTGCCCCCAGCCTGGGTCGGCTGGGAGCCACAATTTCTGAACAAGAACAAATTCAGGGGAATAAAAAAGTTTAGAGAATGCATTTACCCAACAGATTTGTGATTTAATTTGGGAGTTTGGTATCTATCTGAAGCTGTATCTAAGTGCTTTCTGATTTCCCTTCCTCGTAGCATTCTGTGCTTTAGCTACAGTTTCAGAAACAACATAACCAGCGTGCCCTCAACGTCTGAATTTCCTCCCACATCTTTGTACTTCCGAGGCTTGTTTATTTTATCTTTTCCTGAGATGTTTCATTTAAAAATTGCTTTGTCTCATAAAACCACTTAATAAGATGACCTTTAAAATAAGAAAAAAAATCCCTGTACAATGAAAAACAGAAAAACTCAGAGGCATATCATATGGCTCATTCATCTTGCTTTGAGATACATGATTTCATCAGCCACATTTCTCTCTTGGCCACAGCTCAACAAGAATTTAAACTCCTTTCCTTTCCTTTCCTTTCTTTCCTCCCTTCCATTCCCCTCCCCTCCGCTCCCCTCCCTCCTTCCTTTTTCTTTCTTGCTCTTTCTTTCTTCTTTCTTTCTTCCTTCCTTTCTTTCTTTCTTTCTTTCTTTCTTTCTTTCTTTCTT